TGAGGCTATAATTAGTGTACATAGTTATGGGAGGATTACAGTTCAGAATAATGTTTCAAATACCTTATGAATCACTACAAGGAAAGAGATTGAAGACTTCAGATAAAAAAGTTATGATAAGGATTAAGAAACATTAAATAATCTTTTTGTTAAGTAGACATTGTACAGGTGTATTATAATACCACAGAGTAGCCATAAATATTAGATGTGCTTTAATGAAACTTCAAATGTAGGTACTCCTTGGGGAACACCACACACATACACACACACACACACACACACACACACACACACACACACGCTCAAGAAATTTCTCTGACTAGGGCTGATACTTACATTAGTCTGTGGATATGAGCATAATTATTTAAAAGACAATTTAACCAAATGTCTATTCAACAAAACATTGGTAGCAGATTCCCCTATTGGCCCGTGATCTCTCAGGTCACAGATTTTTGACCAGGTTTACAGAACTAGGCATGCATTCTGTCCAGTAGCAGGTCTAAAATCCAATCCAGAAGTGGTGTCTTGCCCCTTGTACTGTCCTGCACCCAATGTACCTGCACTAATATACCTGTGGATATATCTTGGCTGGCAAGTTGCTTTGGTAACACATAGAGTTCACAGCTGGGTTAGATCATTCGTGAATTTTCTCCCCAGCTGTTGCATAGAATTTTCTCACACTGTGAGCACTAGTCAGCATGAAGGAAGCTTCCAGCTTAGGCCAGCTTGATCTGTTTTATCCCTAAGCTAAAGTGTGTGCTGTCTTCAGCAACAACGTCTCATTGTCTAGTTCTGGTGGGCAACCAAGAGCACTGGTGTTAGCCTGTATTATTTTGGAGGTTCCTTCCAGAGATATCCCACATCTGGCTTTGGGATTTGATTTAAAATCTATGACTTCTGGTAAGAGCCCTAGCCACCTATCCAGGGTAGTTCCAGTCAAGAGCCCTTTTTAAGAAATCATACTTTTTGGCTAGCTGATAAAGCAGTAGGATCCTGAATGGATTTTTTTTTCAGAAAGTGTTGACTTACCCTCCTATCACTTCATATTTTAAGGAATCCTTGGGGTATCTTATTTGTTATATAATAATCATAGTTTTAGAATAAAGAAAAATTTCTTCTTTGTAGGACCATCACGGAAATATGGAAAACAAAGCATTTATAATCATAACTGTGATGCTTCAAGGAATATTCTTTCAGGAAGTAAAAACAATAATAATTTCAATTCCATATTCTTTTGATTTATTTATTTACTTACTTATTTGCTATGTGTGTGAATATGCACATGCATGTGTGCAAGCATTCCATGACACACGTGTGGAGGTCAGAAGACAATTGGTAGGAGACCATTCTTCTTTCCACCAGCAAATCAAAATAAAACTGTCATATGGGGACCAGTGTTAAAATACATGAGATTATGGGGGACACTTTACATTCAAATCACATCTCCGTTCCACTCCCTTTCCCCAGTCTCCCTCTTCCTTTTGTTTCTTCTCTTCATATTAATTATTGAACAATAACAACTCTTGTGTGATAACTGTCTTAGTAGAGCACGTTGTACTTTAGCAGCTTAATCCAGGGCACATTATCCAACCACTGATAACTGATTGGCCAACAGAAAACTTTTGAATCAAGGGAGGCAACTAGATCACTTTACCTATTTTTTTCATTCAAGTTTTACTCATAGTGCAATATTCTATAGATCCAAGAGCTTAAGCTTCCTGCGAAAATAATAATGGAAGTTCTACTTCTTTCCCATTGGCAGACATTCCACTGGGGAGGACAAGTTAAGAGCATCCCATAAACTATGTATGAAGAAACTCCATATAGGTCTGGACATGGGGAAGGGTCATTCATTGGATAGGCCTTATTACAGCAATCTTCTGCATTCTCATAACTTTCATTACTATTGTAATAGCTCAGAACTTCATTACTGATAAATTTAATAATGTACATGTTTTCTAGTGTTTATTTTGCAGTTGTCTCTGCCTTTTAGTCTGTGTTAGACACTTCAAAAGTAATCAAGTTACTTTCTTAATTAAAATAAGCACATAGTTTGTTAAAACTTTCAGATTTTTTTTCTTATTCCTGATTTTGTGCCTATTTAATACAGCTCTCTTACATTGACACCATTGGGAGGGAACTTATGTGTGGCACTGTGAACTTAGCAAAATACACATGAATGGAGATGCCATAGATCCTAGAGAAAAATTTACTTTTGCTACATACCTAGACCAATGTAATTTGTTACTGTATCATAAATATACATCCTAATACTTATGGAAAAGTATACCTCTCGCCACTCATCAAAGAAGTTTTTTTTTGCAACAGATGGAGATTAATACAGGCTTCCAGAACTGATGAAATGCAGAGAATAACTGCCTGTGAGATGCTTATCCCTAAGTGACACATTGCAATGCAAACTCTACCTATAAGTTGAATGCATCTTTTAGTTGTCACCAGAGAAGTTCTCTTATGCATCAGATGGTGATTATTAAAAATCTACAAATCATCAGTGTGTAGAGAGCCAGGGGCTGCGAATGCTTATCCTTGAATAGGAGACCTAGTTCAGTTTTTTTTCCTCCCAAAGCTCAGGGATCATTGCAGAACATGGGGACAGAAAGATTATAAGAGCCACAGTTGGCGGATAATTACAAGGAAACAGAGTTTTCCAGACAGCAGGCCAGTTATATACATGAACTCACTGCAACTGAACAGCGTGAACAAGACCCATGCAAGCTTAAACCAGACAAAAATCCCAGCATGGACATGGGGAAGTAAGAAAACTCATCCTAACCTAAGAAACTTTTAGCAACTGGCATCTGCTGGAAGGCAAGGAGGGAGTGTCTTATAGGGATGGCACTTTTGGTAGGTTAACCAGTTTACAGCGGATGGGCATTCAGCGAGAGACATTTATAGGGAGACAAATTAGTCTCTGCAAGCTGCATTATATATATATATATATATGAAGATATCTAAATGCCATCATATTATATTGTATAAAGATCGCAAAAATTCAGGGCTGGAGAGATGGCTCAGTGGTTAAGTGCACTGATTGCTCTTGCAGAAGACCAGGGTTCGATTCCCAGCACCCATATGGTGGTCTTAATCTGATCCCTTGTTCTGACCTCCGTGGGGATTGCACAACACGGGTGTACTTACACACATGCAGGCAATACACTCATACACATAAAATTTTAAAAAAAGCATTTTTTAAATATTCAAAGAAAACTTAAAAAACAGGCAAATTAATTTTAATAGATATTTTTTAGCTTAATGAAGCTGTAGCTAAAATTTCTTCCGGGAAGCACAAACAACATCAGGCCTGGTTCTCCCTTGGTTCGTAGGAAAAACAAAGGTCCAATTTGCCAAACTGCAGTTTGAGAAGCCAATGAGTTTATTGCCTTTACTTTCAGAGCAATGGGTGAGGGTTTACTCACAAGAGTGTGGGTGTTCCCCTCCTAAGGCGTCACTGGAAAGTCTCCATCCAGGCGTGGATGTGACCTCCCCACAGCTGTGCAAATTGGTGAGAGAGCCTCCTTATAGCTTCCGCAGCCCCGGCTCCCCCAACTAGGACCCATTGGTTGGTTGGGAGGTGTTGTTGCTGACTCTCCCTGCCCCTACGTTCCTGCAGAGCATAACACAGTCAATAAGTTTGGCTTAGGCAAGTGCAAACAATCTTGGGAAGAAGACAGCTGTCCAGTCTGCTGGTTGGAAGACAGTCCTGTGCAGCAGTAGCAGATATTTCAATGTTTGAACAATATAATTTTTTTCTGTTACATTAATACATTTCCCTTGAGAAATCCAAAGAATATTTTACATTTACAGTTCCATCTATTCACATGGCCATTGTTTTAAGAGCTCAAAAACCAATTCTTGCAAGTGGCTACTATATTGGAAAGTGAAACTTCAGGATTTAGGAGTAATTTTGATGTAATAAAGAAAACACTGATTTATGTGTAGACCTGTTGTCAAATTCTACCTTTGTCAATCATTACATGAGCCTAGCTGATTTATTCAGGTTCTCTGGTCTTTTGTTTCTTCATATGTACATTTTCCTGGAAAGGATTAGAATTGCATATCTTCTTAGAGAGTGTTAATTTATATAAAAAGATTGCACAACTCATGTCAATGTCTTGCACAATATCTGGAAATCAGTGTTTGTGTATTATAGCCATTTATTAAATGCATAAGACATTATACTAAGCATTTGCTTGGTCTAGGTATATTATACATGAAGTACAATTATAACAAGCTTACTCCAGAAGGGTGAATGTGTGAACAGCTAATTATTTGTAATATATTTATAGTATACCCAAGCAGATGTTAATAAGATAATCTAAAAGCTTTCAAACAGCAAGAAGTTATTTAATATACCTTGGAATTTGTGTAGTCTAAAGATACTCCTTCAGTTGAATGTGCACGAGGCACAGATGGATAGTGGCTCACAGGAAGAACAATAGGAATTGCGTGAAACTGCGTGTAAATACAAAGAACTTGTAGATTTGCAATGAACAGTAGTCATGCAGTGGGCTGGGGGACTTTAAGAGAGGGTGCAATTCGTAGAGGAATAATCAAATTCTGTAGCAGTCTTGATAAACTTTTTCAGACCTCGTACTGCCTTCTTTCTCTCAATGATATCAGTTCCAAATACCACAGTGTTGAGTGTTTCTCTTTTCCTGATTCCTCAGCTCTAGTCAGTCTGTAAACTTACTGTCTCGCTACTCTGTTCAAGTGGCAAGCTGAGTCACTCACCCTTTTCCTGGGCCTCTATAAAAGTCTTCTAACTGAGCTCTCTTTTCTACTCTTACACACTTCTGGTTTCTTTCCAGAGGCAGGAGTGATTTTCTTTTAAATTTTAGCAAAACCTACTCATCTTATATTTTCAGTAGCTCTCTTTCTTCATATTCTAAATGGTTCAAAAGTTTGGCCTACTCCCCCCGACCTTCTTTTTTTTTTTTAACCTTCCCACTCTTCATATAAACTTTAATCCTTCTGCCACATTTGTTGTTGTTATTAACATTTCTTCAGTATTCCAAGTTCTTTCCATTTGTATTATTTCCTCTACTTAGGCAGCTGTTTCTCAGATCTTGAAAAGACTAGCTTCCTTCCTCAGTAAAGCTTTTCTGATCATCCGGTCTGAAAAACCCCACTGATGAGCTCACTCTTTTTTTATCATTTTGTTGTTTCATACTAATTATTATTGCTGCCTGGAATCACTTTATCATCTTTGTTATTACTATATTTATATTTAGTTGCATGTTTTCTTCTTTTTACACTAAATGAAACTTCTAGGATAAGAACCCGTTTGTTTTGTTCATAATTATATCCCTGATATCCTCAGTGCTTGGCAGAAAGAGAATAATCAGTTAATACTTGTTGAATGAATGGGCAAAATTCTTTTCCAACCTACATTATTCTTTTTTTTCATGTAATTTCACTAAAATTAGGAAGGAAATGAGAATTTAATTATTTTATGTAGTATTATGACAGCTATAAAAGCTGTTTAGCTCAAGGCAGAAAACTACCAGGGCAGCACACAAGTTATTGGTCTAGTTACTGAAAAGCCTATGATTTATTTGATAGATGAAAAATATGTTTCTTAGATTCAAGGGCTATCAAATTTCATGTCATTTCTTAAATCTTCTTTATACAGTCCTTGCTCTGTAGTCCAGGTTGGCCTTAAACTCCTGATCCTTGTGTATCATCCTCCCTAGTTCTGGGATTGCAGGTGTGCGTCACCATGCCTGACAGTATCTTAAATCTGAATGCAAATATTTAAATTAATGAAAACATTTGTTGGAGAAGCAAAACAAACTGAATAGCTTATCCTGTTTCTACCTGGAATGTGAATATTACAAACACTTGCAGACAGATTGTTATTTTTAGCTCCAATTGTAATTCTCCTTGAATTAATGGAGGACATTAGAAGTAATATCTAATAATAAAATAATACATGAATAAGAATTATTTATGCACATCAAATGCCAGAAGATTGTAAGGGATAATGTTCCTTTAATGAGAAAAATCATTTAGTCCTCAAAGAGCATTTAAATTGTTTTCCTGGGAGATTTTTTTCTGAAATTTCTTCACTTATTTACATTATTGTTAGGAATCCTTTTCAGTATAGTTTGCAGTCTCATATTCATTCATGTTAACATTTGTTCTATTATGCTTTTTTGTAGGATTAGGAACTGCCAGAAAGAACACTGTCAACTTCAAGCAACATGAAGCTCCTTCTGCTGCTCTCACTCATTGGGTTCTGCTGGGCTCAATATGACCCCCATACTCAGTACGGCCGGACTGCTATCGTCCACCTGTTTGAGTGGCGCTGGGCTGATATTGCCAAGGAATGTGAGCGATACCTAGCTCCAAATGGATTTGGAGGAGTTCAGGTAAATGTTGATCTCAGTTTAAATTGTAGAGTTCTCTCCATTTCCCCAAAATGCTAATCTAATTACTTTAAGCTAATCAGGAGCAGTAATTCAATTCACACATAACTTTCTAAAAAAGAAAAGAAATTGCTGTTTGTCGCAATTATATCTTGTGCCAAGACATCAGAAGACTTCAGCAACATGCTGTCAATTATTTCAAAGTTGTTATATATCAATAAAGCTGCACTTATACAGATTAGCATTGGATCCAATTAGCATTGGATCATCAATAATTTTCTGCTGGACTAATGATATTAATGAGTCACAATATAATATTCATTATAATTGTTTTATTTATAGATCTCTCCACCCAATGAAAACAGTGTAATTAACAATCCTTCAAGACCCTGGTGGGAAAGATACCAACCAGTTAGCTATAAAATCTGCACAAGGTCTGGAAATGAAGGTGAATTCCAAGACATGGTGACGAGGTGCAACAATGTTGGTGTAAGTGAATTAATATTTTCTTCAAAATTAGTATGTAAGAAAATTATATTTGTTTTTTGCTCTAATTTGTCTTGAGAGGAAAGCTCAAAATCATCTACTACCTTATGGTCAAAATTTGAAAATTCATCTGTACCATTTAAACAACAATAATTTCAAGTCAAATGTGAAGTTTTAGCTCACAACCATGTACAGTTCTTACTAACCCTCTTCTGGTTAGGAACCAGAAATCCCAGAAGTTAAACTTTTTGCTATTTTTATGTGATTTCTCTACCCACCTGCAATTGTGACCCCCCCACCCCATTATTGTTTTTAATGATAGCTAGTCATTTTCTTTCTATAGTAAGGACTAATATCTACCTTTTCCTCTCTGGAAAGAAATAAGAGAGCGCGGGCTGACTGCTTTGTTCTCCTCATGACCCAATGCAGTTTCTACAATAATAATCCCTTATTTTTCTATTAATTTCACTTTCTCAAAATGGCTCTTTTCAGTTGTTTGTAGTTATGACAGCTTCTGTGTTTTCCACTTGTCAGTTATGCAAACCCTCATGGGAATATCAGTACCGTTGTTAGTCTTCATTTCACATTACTTTCCTTTCACGTGGACTGTTAGACTTGTGACAAATAAAGATATAAAGTGGAAAAACAATGTTTGACGTTTTGTTAGCACTTGTAGACTTTGGCCGATGCAGTGTTAGATTTGTTAGTGAAACTGAAGCGCACACTTCTCTTCTCAGGTCCGCATTTATGTGGATGCCGTCATCAACCACATGTGTGGCTCAGGCAACCCCGCGGGAACAAGCAGCACTTGTGGAAGTTATTACAATCCTAACAACAGGGACTTTCCATCAGTTCCATACTCTGGCTGGGATTTTAACGATGGCAAATGTCAAACTAACAATGGAGAAATTCAAAACTATAATGATGCTGCTCAGGTAACGAATAAATTAATGATCAGAATGAAGATATATATAATTATGTATGTGGAACTTACAGAGTGCATTTAGTGTATTGTTTAGATTCCTTAAGTAAATGGATTACCAACACAGAATGCTTAAAAATTAGCAACTCAATGATCCTTGAGCTTTGGGAGGATAGTTTACCATATAGGTGTCCCATTTAGGCTGAGCACTCTGAAGTCTCTTATTCTCTGTACACTGATCATTTGTTGGTCTATGTGTTAATCACAATCTGCTGAAAAAGAACTTTCTCTACTGCGAGTTGTGAACTGCACTAATATGTAATTGTAACAATATGTCATTGTGAGGCTGTTTCATATTATGTCAGTTTAACAGAGTGTAGTGATAGCTTCTCCACTATGGCCTGTGCCTTGTTTAGTCACAGGTTCTTGGCCCAGATAGCTGTGTCAAGTGTGGACCCCCAGTTATGAAGTGGACCTTAAATCCAATTAGAAAGTGTTTGGTTATTCTCATAATGTGCATGCCACACCAGTGGTCATATTTTGCCAAGCCAGTTGTTATTATAGGTCTCTGGGTTTATGCCTGGCTGGGTTCATGCCTTGATAATGTTGAGGATTGCCTTTCAATGTCAGTAATATGTACAGCTCTATGAAAGTTAGACATCAGAGGAATAGCTTTGTGGTCAATACCAGCTTGATTTCTCTTTGTTCTGTGACTCAGGAACGTAGTGTCTTCAGCAGTAGAATTTTAGTCTTAAGTTATGGTGGATAACCACTTCCAAAGGTAATAGCCAGCATTATTTGAGGATCTTTGGGATCTCTCTGGTCAACAATTCCAAAAGAGAGTATACATTTTTTACTTTGGGCTTTTCATTCGCTATCTTATAGGGATCATCGCAGAAGAGAGGGTGGAAAAGTTATGAGTCAGAGGTGGTAGGTGAATATAAGGAAACTGTGTTGTCTGGACACCATACAACAATTGCACATATGAACCCTGGTATTTATGACAGTTTGCTCAAGACTTGTGCAAACCCAAGCCAGACAGGGCCCAACATAGAGTGGGGATGTTGGCAGAAAGTCTCAGCCCTAGAAAAGTATCTACTTGCAACTGATAGATACTAGGAAAGGGAAAGTCGTTTTTCCTCATTGGTTTGATGCGTGGTAGGTTGACCAACTTCAAGGGATAGACCCACACCCAAGAGCACTTGGGAAACACAGATTAGATTAGATAAATCTTAAAAACAGGCAAATAATAGGAGTGGACATGAAGTCAGTGGCAATAGTAAGGTGTGGATGAAGGAGAGAAAGGGAGCCTGAATATGAGCAAAATTTATTTTGTGAAATTCTTCAATTCCTAAAAATATTAAAAAAATAGAAACTCAAATAAATTCCCATAAATCTACCCCAGTTATGAGGATGGATCAGGGGACCTGAAGAAGGTTATGGGTTTGATTGCTATACCACATATGAGAAATAGAAAGAAAGGATTAAAGAGTGAAAATGAGTGACTGAGAGAAAGAGAGAGAGAAAGAGAGAGAGAAAGAGAGAAAGAGAAAGAAAAAGTTTCCTTGAAAAACTAATAAGCTAATATATATTTTTCTTATTCTCAATTATTATACTGAAAAATATTTAAAAGATACATTCATAGAACATTAATTTCCCAAGTGTCACATCCAAAGCCATTGTGAAACTGTCTACTAATCAACGGGTGAATTTATGTATCATCAAATCAGTCATAGTTTTCTTTTTGACCTCAACAGGTCAGAGATTGTCGTCTGTCAGGCCTTCTTGATCTTGCTCTTGGGAAAGATTATGTTCGCACCACGATTGCTAACTATATGAACCATCTCATTGACATTGGTGTGGCAGGGTTCAGACTTGATGCTTCTAAACATATGTGGCCTGGAGACATAAAGGCAGTTTTGGATAAACTGAATAATCTGAACACAAAATGGTTCTCTGAAGGAAGTAGACCTTTCATTTATCAAGAGGTAAAGCAATATTTATATGTGCATATAAAATGATATCATGATGGTACCTAAAAAATAGATGCAGGTTTATTATATACATAATTTCTATAGGTTAATGTCTGAGTGACTTATAAAGGACAGTATTGTTTAACTGCATTTTATTCACAAATAACATACTTAAACCTTTAGCACAAGAGGCTCTAGGAGTGTGGAGAATTTGTGTAACCTGCAAACTTCATTGTTCCATTTATGTTCATTGGACCATTATGCAAGTCAGGAAAAGGACCATAGTTACTGATGACTCAAGCTAGTCTTTCTGAGTCCAAATCTTGACTGAAGTATTATTAGATGTGTGTGTTTTAGATAAATTTATTAATATTCATGTGTGTATGGCAAATAATAATATTTGTCTCCATTTTCTATGGGGAATGCAATGAGTTAATAAGTTCTGAAAATGTTCATTGGTAGTAAATGATATGTTTGTGGGAGCTATTAATTTTTCACTATGTGCATTACTAAACTATGTCAGCCTTTTCCCAGGACAAGTGCCCTTGTCATTAAGTTTCTTCCAATATTAATTTATATACTTGACCAAGGACAAAAAAATATTAAATATCTCAAGTAACATACTTTAAGAATTTTTATAGGATATTATTTTCTATCAAAATGCTTTAATGTTATTATATTAAAATGACAGCTTGTCCTGTATTTCTACTAGGTGATTGATCTGGGTGGTGAGGCAATTTCAAGCAGTGAGTACTTTGGAAATGGCCGTGTGACAGAATTCAAGTATGGAGCAAAACTGGGCACAGTTATGCGCAAGTGGAATGGAGAGAAGATGGCTTACTTGAAGTAAATACACTACAATCTGTCATTTGATCTATCAGTGATCTGTTATCAAAGGACACAAATACAAGTGATCTTAGAACATTCTAATTTATACAGCTATCTAGAAGGTTTTTTTAAATCAATGAGCTTTATTTTCCCTAAACCCAATTCATCTTATTTTTCAATTTAAATGTCAATCACAATGAAACATTCTAGAAACTCAGAACATCATGTAGAGATTTTTATCTGTTGGTGTTATTAGTCCTCTAGACTCCACTAATGTTGGCCTACATATTCTCTTCACACCAGGCCATTATTTGAAGAACACTCTTATTCATAAAGTGCATACAATGTGGCCATACTGCCTCATACTGATGCCATATAAAAAAAAGATGCAGATTTAGGTTACCCTAAATATACTGTTAAACAATAACATACACATTTATTTTTTTGATAGGAACTGGGGAGAAGGTTGGGGTTTCATGCCTTCTGACAGAGCCCTTGTCTTCGTGGATAATCATGATAATCAGCGAGGACACGGGGCTGGAGGAGCATCCATTCTGACATTCTGGGATGCTAGGTAGGAAAAAAAGTTCTTTGCTGTTTGTAACCTGCTGTTTAATCAAAATATAATTTATATTCTTCTAATACAATATAATTTTTAAAATTTCAGACTCTATAAAATGGCAGTTGGATTTATGCTGGCTCATCCTTATGGATTCACACGAGTGATGTCAAGTTACAGTTGGCCGAGATATTTTGAAAATGGAAAAGTAAAGTAGAAATACATTTTTTCATGAAAAAGAAAGCAGTTCTTTTTAAATTTCAGATATTGTTGTATAAAATATGCCCTATCAAATATCTATTTACTGTGACTTTAGTAATATACAGTTACTAAAGAAGTATCCACTGCTTTGCCACTGTGAAAAATAACTTGAAATAGAGCCAGATGCAAAAAGTAAGATATGTACTTCTTATAAATTAGCATGGAGATTTTGCACACTAACACTAATAAAGAAGTTAAAACTGTGTTTTTTTTAAAAAATATGTCCCAGACAATATTTAAATAATCTTATTTTACAAATAGATAAAGAGTACGGATCACAAAGTGTTTGGAAGGAATTTATCTGAATAATTTCAAAAAGCAACCGAAGTTCTAGGAGATGGCTCAGTGGGTAAAGTGCTTTCTCAAGGACAGGAGCTTAGATACTTAGCACCCTTGTAACTGCCTGGCAAGCTTGGAGCTTACTCCTAATCCAAGCACACAGCAGGTGGAGAAAGGGGAGACTGGAGCAAGTTGGTGAGCTCAACTAGCATAATGGGCTAGGTGGGTGGGGACACTCCACCTAGCAGATGATGGGAAGAATGAAACTGATGTTGACTTATGGCCTCCACACCCACACACATGTTCAGGCATAACTGCACACACAAGGTGTGCCCATGCACATGGGAACACACACACAAAACAATCCTGCACTTAATATACATACTGCACACATACACATATCTTTTTAAATTGAATCAATCTCTGATATTTTTACTTATTAGTTCTTAGTGGCATGGAGAGTATTTCCATTTAGCTTTTCCATATTACCGAGGCTTCTACATGCTTCTACAATCTCTTAGATTTGTCAGTTGTTCACCATATGACATGATCTCTGATATCTCTCCTAGACTTACTGTGTTTCTTTACATTTGAAGGATCTTTAAAGT